AGAGCTACATGGTTAAGAGCTCCTCCCTCCACAGCAGCTGAGTTTAAGTTGCCCATTTTCACAGAGCTATTGGCTGTTCCTGACACCATACAACAGGTAGAGCATCTCTTGCTTTTATAAAAGCTCTAAACACCCTCACATCCACCAACAAAAGCCTGAAGCAAACCTAGATGGCTGAGCAGGAACCCAACTTAGAGCTTACACACTGCTGCAGAGTAGTTTTGGATTTTGGGGAATAAAGGCTCCACAAAAAATAGGACAGGCACATCAGAAGCACAAATGCATAATACTTTTTAATTCTCTTTAAAACACCGATGGGAGAGTAGCAAAAGCCAGATGATTTGTCTCTCTCTCTCCCTCCACATCAAAAATTACAAGCAGTCTAGAAATCCCAAGTTAATGCTGAAGCAGGACAAGCTGGAGCTTACCAAGCTGCAGAAAGTGGGTAGCATTGAGGTTAAACCATTTTCCCAGTGAGCTTGAAAGCATCAAGGACAATATATGGGGGTCTAACAGTTTTTATGGACTTGTGGTTTGAAACACAGATACACCAAGAAGCAGCTGTTACTGCTACATCTGGGCAGCCTTGGGAAGTCACACGGTGACATCTGCCCTGCATGTCAGAGGTTAATCTTAGCATGGTATGATGAATGCCGAGACACCTTCAACTTCTGTATGTTGTGTGCCTTTCTCCACAATCACCACCTCCAGCCACTTCAGATGGAGTTTTGCTGTCCAGGCAGAGTGGTGGCACACAAGAAAACCAAGCCTTAAGGCTGCATTGACAGAAACAGACCCACCCTCCCCAGCAGCCATGGGCAATGGTGCTAAAAGCTGTCCACCCTGAACTAGGCTGTGACCCATGCTGTCATGGGTGAGGCATCACTCAGCAACAGGCTAGTTTTGTATTAACTGCTGGTTTAGAATTCTCACATATTGTTAACATGACCTTAAAGGTCCTCCCAGCCAGTGCACCAGCCAGCCTCCTCCTTAGCCTCAGTGCATGCAATGTGCATGATCCTGTGCTTGGGTCACAGCAATCCCAAGTACAACTACAGGCTAGGCAGAAAATTGATTGAGAGCAGCCCCAAAGAGAAAGACTTGGGGTGTGTTGGTTGACAAGAAGCTCAACATGAACTGGCAGTGCTCACTTGCAGCTCAGAAAGCCAACTGTATCCTGAGCTGCATCATGAGAAGCACGACCAGCAGATAAAGAGAGGGGATTCTCCCCCTCTGCTCTGCTCTCATGAGACCCCACCTGGAGTACCATGCTGAGCTGGAGGCCTCAACACAAGAGGGACATGGACCTGTTGGAGCAAGTCCTAAGGAGGGCAATGAAGATGCTCAGAGGGCTGGAGCACCTCTTCTGTGGGCACAGGCTGAGAGAAACAGGGTTGCTCATTCTGGAGAAGGCTCCAGAGAGGCCCTGGAGCACACTTCCAGTGCCTAAAGGGGGCAACAAGAAAACTGGAGAAGGACTTTTGACGAGGGTATATAGGCATAGGACAAGGGAGAATAGCTTTAAACTGACAGAGGCGAGATCTAGATTAGATATTAGGAAAAAAACCTACACCGTGATGGTGGTGAGAAACTGGCACAGATTGCCAAAAGAAAAACCATGGCTGCCCCATCCCTGGCAGTGTTCAAGGCCAGGTTGGACGGGGTTTGGAGCAACCTAGTCTAGTGAAAGGTGTTCCTGGCCACGGCAGGGGACTTGGTACTAACCCAAACCATTCTATGATTCTAGTCTAAGGTCCCTGGATCACATCCCACATGTAACAATGACAGAAGCAACTTGAGGACCAGCCGAAGGAGACAGCAGCTGGTTTGCTGTGGCCACCAGCCTTCAACTAAAAACTGCAGGGATCACACAGAAGAGCGAACATGGCAGGTTACCTGCCACTTTGGAGAGTTATACCTGCCAAGTGCTACCATGCTTAAAGGTGTGCAGCCAGCTCTGTCAATACCTACCACAGCACACATTACAGCAGAAGAATCTAGTCTGAAAGTAATGTGGTTACTTTCAAAGGAAGCACTTTTCAAAGCATGGTGGGAGGCTTATACAGTAGTCCCAAGTAAGCAAACTGTCCAAAGAGATATAATCTAGCTCCCTCGCAGCCCTAGAGAAAGCTGCAGTGTTTAGCTTGCTAGAAACACACAAATTTTGGACACAGGAACAAACTACATAGCTAAGTTTCTCAGACAAGTGAGCCTCATCCTCTACTGTGTCCTGTCCCCATATCCTATAATCCCTTTATAGGATTTCTCCAGCGATGAAGGGCAAGTAAAACCAGTCACACCAGAGTCTAGGAGGATATTGGTTACCCGGCTAATCTCTCCAGAGCCCACTAGAGAGGAGGATAAGCTTATCTAGAGACATTCAAAGTACCTCATGTTTGTGTGTGCAATTTGATTTTTAGAACAGTTTTGCATTCAAGACAGGTAGGTGAATATAATGATGCAATTAACCACAGACAGCTTGGCACAGATGGTCCCCAAGAAACAGAACTAGCTACACAGCAGGGGTTTATATTTAATGATGAGCCAAGCCATCAGTGAGGCAAGTCAGCAAGACCTCACTAAAGGCAGTGAAGATCAGCTAAGCTCACTCAGCTCTTTGCAATTCTTCCAATGGTGAAGCACGTACGGCCTCCCCACAAAGGGCCAAGATCTCTCATTAGGGACTCAAGCATATGCCTACAACAGCAGGAGTATCTGACCTTGCATCATCCAAGATCTTAAGGACCCTGGGCTGGAGCTCAGTGTAGCTTTATAGGAAAGCACTCCCAAACACAGCTGGCAGCATCTAGATATTCTGAGATTAAGCACTAGAAACTGTAATATTTGGGGAATGGAAACCAAGCTTCCAAATGCCATCCCCCACCCCACCCAAGAGGATGTGGTAACCCCTAATTGCATTACATAGAAAAAAAAATATTAGAAACTCACAGCTCAAAAGCTTCCTTCATGCTTAACTGGGGCAGTAGCATCCCTTGGCAGAAAACCCATCCCCAGGTGGTATTTGTCACATTTTACAAGATGTGGATTGGTGATTCCTAACATCAGTGAATATTCTGGCTCACAACAGTAAAGGGATTTGGACCACAAAAGCTGTGCCATTTGTCAAAACCACATAGCACACCAGAGAGCACCATGTAATTTGATTAACGGGGACCTGCAAAGCCATACCCCAGAGCCAAAAAACCAATAGCCTTCTAATACAGTCCTCATTGTTTAGGAAAGCTAGTTCTGACTACAGCCCACATTTGTCTTAGAGGAGCTCAGAGCAGATTTAAGAGTAGAGGAAGAAAAGGACTGTGGTTGCATAAGACTGCTCAGCAGGAGCCCAAGGAAACTGCAGCAGTCCTGTGTCAGCACAGAAGGACTGTACTTTTTTTAAATGTCTGTGCAGAAAGCCTCATTAAATAATGAGACCAATACTCAGTTGAAACAAATTCCTCTTATCTTCCTGTGCAGGCTTCTAAAGGAGATTCCAGAGGGCTCAAAAACTGTTTAGTCTCCTGAATCATACTGCTCTTGCTAAGCAGACACACTTTTTTCCCCATCCTGAAAGACCAGATTTTCACAGAGACACACACACAAGCCCTTCTTCCCCTGCTGTCAGTCTTCCACCATCAGCACCACATCCTTGCGCTGCCAGATATATGCAAGATTTATCCTGGGAAGGGGCAGGTGATATAGCTGGAGGTCAAGGGAGCTCATAGCAGGATTCAAAGCTAGCAGCAAGCCTAACAGACAGCAGGAGCTGCAACACCTCACATGTGCAGTGCAGAGGGCTCCCAAATTCTGCTGTCCTCTAAACTTAACAAGAGTGAGAGTTATTGCTTCATGCAGAGGAAAAATGCTGATGAGCCGTTATCTATAGCACCCCACCTCTAATCAGAAGAAAAATACCATCTGGCATTCCACCCCTGGAGGGCTGCCAATCTTTGCAGTAAAAGATGAAGGCAAGAGAAGGTCAAGATTAAGGAAGGGAAGCAAAACGGGCAGAAAGATTAATCCCTGCCAGGTGGCGTCAGTCCAGACTGGAGTACAAAACTGGATGGATAAGCAAGCAGAGAAGAGTAAGTAGGAGAAAAAACAGGAAGCAGAAGTGAAAATTCTCCACAGGAAAGTCATGGATAAGCTGGAGAGAGAACAGATCTGAGCTACAGACCAACTGCAGTGTAGGATCTACTTCACCTCAACCTGTCTTGATGGGTGTTTGCACAGGTGGAATTGGCATCACTAGGTTTCGACTTCCTGAAGTCAGCCAAGAAGCAGAGACTCGAAGACTGGCAGCATGCAAAAGCAGTTTACAAGACGACAACTTAAGAAAAGACAACTTAAGAAAAGCTTAAGAAGAGAGTTTAAGAGAAGAGAAGAGGGTGAGACAAGGCTGGAGGAGCCAGTAATGGGACACCAGCTTAGCAAGTAGCTTTGAGTTGGAAGAGCATCTCATAGGGAATGTATCCTTTGCCTCTTGCAGCAGAGTTGCATAGGTAGTGTAAATAAGGCACCACTTGTTCTGGCAGGGTTTCGGACAGCTACACACCAAGGTAGCCATCTCATGCTGAACATTTCCCCCCACACTGCATGCAGCAAGGGTTTCAGCAGTAGGGTGGCAAGGGGCTCTCCAGCTGCTGAACATGTTCCCATGGGTGTTATCTGGTACAGAGGTTCTGCAATGGGTGCACACACCAGCAGTTACAGGCATACAGAGCCAGACTACTGCAACAGCAATACTGCAGCTGCTCCCTCTCCAAGGGAAAACCCCATCCCTTCCAGCACTGACACCTGAATTTCAGGCATCCTCCAGGACACTGTCCATTGCTTGTTTCCTGTACCTGCTTGAAGGGAACGGGTTGCTCAGCAACTTTATCAGGAACAACAACATATGCATATAGTTATGTGCCAGACAGACAAATTAGGGATGTGTCAAGGCGAGTGTGCCACTCCACATGAAACTGACTGCTTCTTAGCCTTGGCATCAGTAGTACCTTCTGATTCCAGGCGGTCCAGCCCATAGGTCTCAGCAGTACTGATCCTCCTCACAGGTGGAAGAGCTGTTCTCCTGACAGAAGATGCCATTGATGCTGGAGTTACCAGGACCATAGTTCTGCTGGATGGCTCCTCTGTCTGTCCAGACTGGGTTGCAGACATCTCACCAGGAGCTGGAACAGCCTTCTCACTGGTGACCAGAACATGTGTGATGTCTACAGATGACAGGAAGCAGCAGCAGTTAATCACAATATTAAAAACCCAAGCATTTAAGAACAGACTCCTCAGTGAAAACTTAACTCAGAGTGGAACTTGAGTTAAGAACTCTTGCCCTGCTTAAGATGCGCAAGTGACTCTGCTGTAATGAAAGCTTCCCCTCCAGGACAGCCAGCACAGAACTTAAGAACCCCTTAATGAGAACTCAGCTAGGTTTTATTTCCATTGCTTTGAAGACTGCTAGCCACCATACCATAGGAATATCAGATTTCAACCAGTGTCTCAGTGCTCTGAGCTGAGTGGCAGAGCTAGCTGTTTACTGCAAAGAAAAATTACAGAATCATAGAATGCTTTGGGTGGGAATGGACCTTAAAGAGCATCTAATTCCAACCCCCTGCCACAGGCAGGGACAATTAAGTTGATTTTTTACTTAAAACCCAGAAGCAAATTAGTGGAAACCACTGAAAGAGCTCTCTCTCCCCTACAGACAGACTGTAATTTAAGAGATAGAGTGCAAACAGGTGTTTTCTTTTGATGCCCTGCAATATAAGAAATACAAAAAAGTTTCCCAGCAGCAGCTTCATTACAGTGGTACCTACTACTACAGAAATATCCTCAAGCTCCGTCAGCTTTGTACTAAGGGAAATCTTGCTACACTCCTGGCAAGACAGGTTCCTACACGTACCTGCCAAGGTGACATCAAGCCAGCAGGCAGCAGCTAACTGAATACAACTGCTTAAGCATTTCTGTATGAACCACATCAACCTGAGAAGAACTCACTATTCCTCAGTGGGAGTGAAAATCAGTGCAGGCTTTCACACCTGAGGGCTTGCCAGACTCTTTCAAGAGGGTGTCTAACCCCATACTACCACTCCCACATTACCCCAATGAAGCTTTCATCCTTCAGACTGACCATCAGCAATCTGACTGCCTTTGGCTCCAGAAGTAAGAGCTTGCCCTCCATAAATATAAACTGACTTAAATGTCTAAGGCTAAAAGTCAGCTTGCCAGTAAGGACTGATGTAGGGAGTTTGTTCTGGGTGATTTTTTTGTTTTTATAAATATCTACTCCACCTTTATATGGGACAAAACATATGCTGGCATATTTCAACCTGGTGGACCTGGCAGCATGGGGAGAAAGTGGCAGGGCTAGAGGCAGCATGCAGAAGGCTAGAAAAAAGTCACTTAGAATACATATGTGGTGTGTTGAGACTTCAGTGTCCAGTAATACTGGTTCCAGATGTACCACCTCACCCTGTGCAGAAATGAACCACAGTCTGTGAAGTAGAACCCTACCTTCCACATCTGGAAGGTTTGCTGCAGAGGAAGTACCAGCTGCAACCACCATCTGGGTAGCACTAGGAGTAGTCACCATCTGAGTGTCCTCTCCACTGTTTTCCTGGGGAAAGCTTGAAGGTCCTGCTCCCTGGGTAGCACCAGGCACTGGCGTTGCAACTAACAGAGCAGCATCAGACTCCTGGACAACTGTTGTCACCTCCTGAGTAACACCTACAGGAAGAACATGTGTCAGTACCAACTTGCAGGACAACAGACAGCAAAAAAGCAGATATTTGAAGGAATGGTACTCCATGCATTAGCATTTTCAGAGCTACATTGTAAACAGCAAGTCCTGTCAAGTATCATCAGGGCAGTGCAGCATAAAGACAGACGCAAGAATGCATGTAGCAGTAATGAAAGCCACAGAATTGGTGTTCATTTTCTTAATTGCCCTTTAGGGACACGAGGGCCCACTGGGAACTATTGCCAAGGAGTTACAGCACTACAGGCCTTTAGTGTGAAATGCCATTTGAAACATGTGAGGCTGCCAGAGCAGTGTTTTTAGTGACCCAGTCTGATGGCTACAAGACTTCAGCTTTTTAGAAAGGTTTATTTTTGTTGCACAAGTCTTATTGACAGTGTTTTCCCAACATCTGTGACACAGCAGAGAGGGAACCTGCTGACAAGTCAAGTGCTTATGAATTAATCTAGAAATGTCATATTTCAGCACCAGCATGCAATTAGCTTTCTTTTATAGCAAAAGCCAGATATTTCAGGTGTAGTGATGGGAAGTTGTCCCTTTTCTCTGTAGCCTAAGAGGGAAGATTAAAGATGCCCAGCAATTAAGACAAAGTCCTAAATCACAGCTCATGTTTCTCACCCTAGGAACGTCATTGTTCAGTATCTGACCAGAGCTCTTCTTAGCATTGCTCCCTCTTCCTCCCACCACCCCCCTCCCTCCACCCCCCCCCAAGTCATTAGGGTCACTGTCATTAGGCTGCAGGTGCCATCTCTACAGGTAAGTGCAGTAGAGGATGACACCAGCAGCCCGTGGCAGGCTGTCTAGGAGGAAGACTTCTGCCTGCTGGTAACAGACTTGGCACAAGCAGTGGACAGTCAGAGCCTGGCCACAGCTTCGCTCTAGGGTGTGAAGACAACGCCAGGAGCTTTTGTTACAAAAAACAGCACACAGCTCTGGACAGATCTTTTGATCCAACCACCATTTTAAAGTCAAGGAATATGTCAATTACTCACAGGCTATGAGTACAGCTTGCCTATTCCTGGACTTAGGAAGCATTTACATCCATACATTGTCTCTGCATCTTCTGCACTAACTGCAAGTATCCATAGCTAGCAGTTGAGAACCAAGTGATCCCAGATGCTAATTAAATCCCCCAGGAATTATTCCCCCCTCCATTTTGCAGGGCTTTAGAGTAAGCTAGTGCAAGGACCCCCTTTAAGCCCTTGAACCTGCTATATGAAAGGGACACTTGGGTGAGTGCTATCCTCCTTGAAATAGTGTTTAACCAGTGGGTATAAGATTGAGCTCCCTCCTTAGTCATTACAAGAGGCATACCAGAGGGTTATTCAAAGTAGATTTATGTATCCCTGGTCAAGGCAAGATACTGACCATCAGACTACAGCTGTGCCCCTCAACCATTATGGTAAGGCAAAGCTGAAGCCCCTGCTTTGGTAGCACACTATACGTGCAGAACATTAACAAAGGAAATTTTCTAACTAGCACCAAGTATTTCCTGTTAAGGCTCCAGTTCTCTACAGACATCCACACTGAAGTACACCCATCAGCCACAGGCTCAACTACCACAGACTTTCCTGATGGCTACTATAGCCACCCTCCCTCCACTCCAGAAACTGAAGAAACAGCTCAATACAGTTGCTTCACATCACAAGGCAGGGTACCGCCCAACACACTGTGCCTCCTTGTACACAGGGACATTGTGTATAGGAACAGCCAAGGCTATGCCATACTTTATGGATGCGAATTACCTGTTTAGGCTGTTACCCCTCCACAAGGGTCCATAGCCTTTCTTGGGGAGAAGATGTGTCCTACCTCTACTGCAGGTATCAAGATAACACCTTTCTCTACTTCATCTCCCTGAAAGGAAGCAGATTCCCAAGAGCATCCCTCCTGTACCTACACTTAGAGGAAAGTGTCTTTAACAGGCAAGTTTTACCTTTCCACGAGCTTTCCAGAGTAGGAAGGCGATCAGACTGCATATCTGTCACCACAGCAGCCTGTGGCTGTGGTGGAGGGATGCTTTTCCGCTCCTCTGCTGTGACTGAACTTATGTTTTCCAGCGAGTTGAGATCAGCCATGTCTACACCCACCAGGTTTGCAGTGGGGACAATATCACCATGGCCTGTGGAAGCTGCTGGCAATTCTTCCCCACGCACCAGCGCTGTGCAGTTGGTCTCCTTGGCAAGCTCAGGAGCTGGTGGAGTGGATACTGGGGATGGCACCACTCTTACTACATCCTCTTCCTCCCCTGCACCTCCCTGTGGTGCCTGTGATGGTTCTGTTATGCCCAGGTCCTCTGTCACCTCAAGAGACACACTTCCCCCTTGACTTATGTCCCTCACTTTTGTGTCATCCCAGTCAGGGGGCACCATGTCCATAGTGTGGATAGTGACACTGCCAGCCACAGTGGGCAGCTCTCCTTGCCTTCCACCCGTCCCTGCTTCCAGGTGGAGGGAGGCTGAGGTCACCACAGGTAGATGTTTTGCAGCCACAGATGCTCGCACAACCAGGGACTTTAGAGGGCTCCCTGTGTGGGGTCTTGTTACTCCTAGTTCAGGAGTTATGCTATGAGCCTGGGGAGTCAGGATGACAGGGTGGTCACTTGCTGTTTCCCACCTGGGAGAGCTGGGGTACACTGTGGGCTGGGGTGCCACTGAGGGGTGGGAGTTGCTCCCCGCCTCTTCCTCCACAGCAGTCCCAGAAAGAGGGTTTGCCAAGAGGCCAGGAGAGCTGTGCTCTACTTCAACACCACCTTCAGTGGTGGTCCCACTAATGGGGCCAACAACAGACTCCTCCTGAACAGTAGGGCTCAGTGTGGTCACAGCTGTGGTCAGCATGGCCTTGAATGCATCATCCTCTTCCAGCTCTGACTTTGTGGGACGAAGCTCACCCTCATCAACAACAGCCACTGCCACAGCAGAGGTATAATCACCCAGACCCTGGCTGCCTGGAATGACATGGCTCAGGCTTACAGACAGCTGTTCTCCTTCTGCAGTGAAAGCTTCATTTAAGGGTATCCCAGATGGCTTTATCAACACTCCACATGGCTTTTCAGAGATAGTCTGCTCAGAAGGGCCCAGGTTATTTTTCAAGTTCAACATGCTTGTCCTTTCATCTTCAACTCCATTCCCTGCCCAGGGGCCAAGTTGGACCTTTGTCATGTCCCTCTTCTTCAGTGGCAGAGATGCAACACATGGTGGACTAGAAGACAAGAGCAGGATGCTGCAGGTGACCATGCAGATGTTAAATCCTATTGATCTACTCATAGCTGAGAAGAAATGTGCCTAGAAGCCTGCAAAACTGACAAGTCCAGACTGCACGACCTAGAAAGGAAAAAGGAGCAAGATTACACATACCCATAACCAACCATTGACCTAAGGCCTTAAGTAACTGGGTGACAAGTTCCAAGCATGCTAGCCTACAGCCAGCTCTGGGCAGCCCTCACCTATACTTCCCAAGCAATGAATCCCTTCCTCTATTTTACTATTCCTAGCCTACATAACCTGAAGTCTTTAGACAAAACACTCTTGATCTGAAGTCCAAGACAGGCCTTGCCAAGCTCTCACACCAGTGGTAGAGGGCTACGCTTTACCCAGCAGGCATCAGACTTGCAAGTAAATGTTCCATCCCTGGCAGTGTTGAAGGTCAGGTTGGACACAGCCTTGGGCAACATGGTCTAGGGTAAGGCATCCTAGCCCAAGGCAGGGGGATTGGAACTAGGTGATCTGAAGGTCCCTTCCAACCCTAACCATTCTATGATACTATGAGGATCAATGTATTTGTCCTTTATCAAGTCCAGGTCCTACATTTGACCTGAATCAGACTGAAGTTTCAGGCCTGTTATGGCAAGCCCTGTTCTGTGCATTGACACAGAAGGAAACCAAGGAACTCACAGGGAACAAGGTGCATCTATAGATTGCAACACAGGACCAGAGCCAAAACAGGAGGCTTCAGGACTGCATTAAGTCTTGTGTCCTGTACAAGAACCTTGGCCCCACTGAGAAAGACTACAGCCCAGATAGCAGTACTGCTGCATTAGCACAGTGTTTATCCTGCACTGCAGCATGGAGGCATGTCCAGGAAGTTTCACGTGTATAATTGTGTGCTTCAAGAGTTTCCAAGAGAGCACTGGAATAGTAGCCCAGGAGAGATTTGGCCAGCTGACAGCCTGCTCTTGGCAGGTTCTGTTGTCTCCAGCAACACAGCTCAGGCTGCCATGCAGATGGAGGACAACAGCAGCCTGCTCCCAGCCACCTCCCTCTAGGCAGGTGCCTCTCAGTCCTGGGCTTGATGCACCATCATTTAGCAGATGACCACCACACCATCCCATGCAGGACAGCTGGTCACACAAGTCTCATGCACACAGCAAGCGGCCATCCATCACACAGCAGATCTGCTAAGATCTTCCTCCTCCTCCCAGTTGCAGGAGTCAGCTTGCCAGTGGCACAGTCAAGCTCAACTGTAAGAAGCCCCCAGTTATCAACAGTTTCACTTCCTTTGACTGGTACGTTCTCAGTTCTACAAGTGAACTGCTCTTAGGTTTGAGCCACAGGACTAAGGAATATTATTAAAGAAAGGTTGGGGCTATCAGAACCACCCCTCAGCCTTCCGAAAAGGAAGTATCACTCTCTGCAGTCTTGCTCATGGGCACCAGAATGAGTCCCCCAGCTTGCTAGACTCCTCATTTCCCCACCCAAACAGCATATAGATAAATATTACCTGCATTTGTACACACAGAGAGCAGCAGCAAACCAGCTAGCACTGCTTTGCTACACAAGGATGCATCATTCCTCCATGTCTTCTCACACACCCGTGTGATGCTGTGGGGAGAGTGATCTCAGTAACATCATTTCTGTGCTTGTCCAGCTAACACAAAGGCCGTCTGCATCCTGCTGCTCATGTACATTTGTCTCCTTTGGGAAAGCGTTATTGTATCTATCCAATCAGCTAAATATAATCAAGAAGACAGAAAGCTTGTATGTCTGGTCACACACAGCTATATATATTTCCATTGCAAAGAATACCTCTTATTCCACACAGAAGACTTCTCTAGCTGATCTAATCTGCAGGGTTGTCTGTAGCACAGAAGATAACCTCAGCACTACCAGCTTAGATGCACACAGATCAGTCAACTACTGCAGGCTCCATTATCTGGTTGAGCCTTCGGGGCACACCGAGTCACATTTTCCACTCCCCCTGCAGCCCCGGCTCTCAGCAGCTTGAGCTGCTGGAATAATTCCTTGTCACAGGCCACACACACACAGTGCTCAGGGACAACCAGAAACCACCAAGAAGCTGCTCACAAGCAGCAGCACACACAGTTCTACTGGAGGATGGGCAACAACCCATCTATTACCTCTAACCTCCCTGCCATAAGAAAAAAAGGAGTTGAAAACTGACAGTGTTCAGCTATTCTCCCTTTATGCGCTTCTGTAATTAAAAAGCACTGAGAGTGTATTATGCAATTTAAATTGCTAGTGCCCAATGACAAGCATCTGCCTTGCCATGCTGATGAATATAAATTATGCTCGTCTCACACCCCTTTAGCAAGGGCCAGTTAAGATAAGCCATACTGAAACATCAAGAGCTTGTTATTTTTTAAATAAAGAACAGTTTGGATCTAAATACACTTCCTCTAGAAGTCAGGAGTCTTTTTAGGCTATGCAAGTAGTTTTAGCAGTGGCTAAACTAAACAGAACTCCAGCTGCACTTGAAACCCATAGCATTTTGCTAGCAGTCATACATGTTATACATAAGTATATACACATACATATATACATTTGTAAGTTTCTAGCTCCAAGAAACCCAAGACATCTAGGAGGTGGTTAAAAGTACTGAAATGTTAATCTCTTCCCAATAAGCTTACTCCACCTTTCCTAGGATCAAACATGCCAGTGAATAAGAGCGAAATTTGCTCCCTAGAAGGCTAGCTTTCTGAGATCCATTAGTTAAAAACTTGCCTCCTTCTGGCTCATAGATAACATGGGCAGTCAGTCCTAGACTGATACAAGAATTCCCAGGGCACTTTGGCAGCCTCAGACTCATACCCCCAGTCTGAAAAACACTATTGGTCATCGTCCTACATTTCTAAAGTATAAAATAATGGAGTTATTTGCTCAGGAAATCCACAAGTAGATCTAAGCTAACCTAGACCTCTGCATTCAATAAAGACCAAATATAGTGGCATGCAGCTTACTTCAGGATAATGGCACAAGTTCATGCTTCAAAGAAGATTAATCAGAGCTTAAAGTACTTAGCTTTAGGATGAGGCTGGATTAAACAGTGTATGAACACCAGTGACCTGGTATCTTCTTAAGCAGAGTTTGACACCTTGTTATAGCAGTTCCACTTAATGCAAAAGCAATACAGGTTTTAGCAGATAGCTGGCTGCAGAGCCGTTTGTTACTGAAGCTTCAGTGGGCTATACATGTATCCTCCCACCTGGCTATTTTTATAGCCAGTATGCTCTACTACCTTATCTGAGCAATAAAAGTAAGCTGGAACGTGCTGCTCTGACCAAGCACCTCCTCTGTAGTAAGCTTAAGCTTTTTTGTTACTAGCTTGAAGCTGTAGGATAACTCTGTATTTCATGCCACAGGAGTTCCTTGTCCCCAGATTTCACCTGGCATTCTCCAAGCTGAAGCCGTGGAGATCAGCTGCCAAGCGCCAGCCAGGCTCTCAGTGGAAAATTAATCCTTGCTTCAAATAGGAAGCATATACAAAGGGCAAGAGACAATGCCAGTTACTTCCCCTGCACTTAATAACAACAAATCTCAAGAGATGCAGTTCCCTTAGCTGCAAAGGCAGCACAACTGCAGACAACCAAAGAGCTTTAGCATAGGGGAGGGAATTAGCCTTTAACACGTAGTAGGCTGGAAAGAAGCACAAAGGACTGCTAGGCTAAAACAGGAGACAAAGCTGGGCATCTGCAGGAGCTGTCCATCAGAATAAGAACCACCTACTACTGGGGCAAGTGACCAAGCTGCGGCACAATAAATATACATTGGTCACCAGCTGAAGCAGTCTTGCAAATCAGCTGGATCCTTCCGAGTCAGGCTGCTTCCTTGCTCCATACAATTAGCACTAGCAACAGCTATTAAACCTTTAACCCCTCTCTGAGACCTGTTTGAAGAGTCAGCTCCTGGAAGGTCTGACAAAAGCCAGCTCAGAAGAACCCCAGCCTGTTACGGTCACTCCAACAGGGCAGGCTTGAAGGGGATGAGCACAGAGCAGACCAGGCTTCTCTCATTCAATAGCTGCTCCTTACACAGACCAGCAGCTTGTGGACACATGCTGCAATGAATGAACCTCTCCCCTCTCATCCCACTGTACGCAGTTGCTCCCTAGGATGCCTTTTAGAGTTTTGCCCAGCCAGTTTAGCTGGGGATAAAGCCCCAAGAAAACCATTTACTGTTATTTTCTGGCTGTGTTCTTGGGGGGGGGGGGTATCAAGTTTTTAACTCACTTTAATTAATAACCATGTTCTAACAATCCCTCTCCCACACAGAAAGTACACTTGTAGTCTGTAGCTGAAGTGGCTGTTGCATCATATAGCAGAGAGCACATGAGATTAACAGGTCAGCTTCAGACAAATCACTGACTAGCCTTTGCAGAGTAGAGCTTTTCACACCTCCCAAGTACAAGCTTGATTACGCCAGCTTCCACTAGCTGAACAGTCCTGGATGTGCTCAGCTCCACCTGTTCAGGGAAATGGACAAAAACAGTGCAAATCTTTCAATGCAAAAATTTTAGCCAAAACATACAAGTCAAGCAACTGCCAGCAATCAAATGCTATGTTACCAGAGTGCTAATGTACGCTACCCAAGCCTTATTACTTGTGCTGAATACAAAAGCCAGAAGACAATACACTGCAGAGCTCCAACTCCTACTTCTACATACAAGCTCAGAAAGCAGCATTCATTCTGTCTTTGCCCTGTTCGATCAAGTGGATTGTAAAAGCTGATGCTCATACAGCACTTCCTGCAGACAAATAGACCTCAATCAGTTAAGCCATCCTTAACAGCTCGCAGTGAAACCCCAACAGTGACATGACTCAGGCTATATTGGTGGGTGGTGTCAAGTAGGATGCGCAAACCTAGACACATCTTCCTCTACTTTGAAGATAGTCCCTTACAAGCAAACAAATGAGATGTTAACACCCTGTAAGGACACCTTCCTACCAGTCCCAGGGAGCCACCTTAATATACAATAGATCACCTCCACTTCCACCATCGGCATTCCAGAAGTAGTTCTTTGAGAAACAAAAGACATGACATGTTTTAGACATTATTCCTCCGACCACTAAGCAATCACCTGCTTTGTTCAGAGCAGCACACACCATCTATGGAAATCCCTACTTAGATTTGCAAGTAAAAGCCACACACTGACCCATGCCAGATCCCCTGCACCACAAGTCAGAGGTTTAGCAAATTCCTGAGGGATTAAAAAAATTGGGAGGAGGGGCATCTAAGAATGAGGCCAAGGGGTGCAGCAGTTTCCAGAGACCAGGAGGATGGAAGCATTGCTCTCCAGACAGACTGGGAGCATTCAGATTCCAATCAGCAAGAACCACTTGAAAATTTCAGTGTCTTATCTAACAAAGACAGCAAAAACCCGCAGTAGATCTGTAGGATCATGAGTCTCTTCAGGTTAAGGTTGAAAATTAAATACACCTTGCTAGGCCCTTTTAGCTTTGGTTCAAACTGCTTTTTTTTTTGCCAGGGAACAGAATTAGGGACGGCTGGAGGCTTGATTACACTCAGTACACCTGCTTGCAAGGCATCTTCCTGTCCTCCTCAATCATATTTACAGGTGAGCTTAACAACTCAGCAGTGCATCCTTACCCTGCAGTCGCCCCACCAGTGTGAACAACCAGCTGGGGATGTCTCCAGCTCAGGCCTGCAGCAGGACAGAGGCACAGCCGTGGTCCTCCACGAGCCATCCCGGGAATAGGAAACCGCTCCCGGGGGTTCTCCGAGAGAACACACCGAGACCGCAGCCCCGCAGGATGGCACGCGCCGCCCCTTATTCTCCCGGGACCCACTCGTCGGGAACAAAGAGCCTCACCGAGGATGGTCTGCCCCGCGGGCAGCCAAGCATCGTCACCCACCAAACAGTAAATCAGAACGGACAAACGCGGGGACGATCCCGCTTGGGGGTGCCGTGTCTCTCTCCCCACACACACCCCCCCCCCCCCCCTTCCTCCGAAGCCCCCCCCCCGGCCTCACCTGTCTCCCGCCGCCACCGCCGCCACCCCAGCGCCGCGCTCGCCCCCCGCGCCCGCTCGGGCGGGGCGGAGCGAGCCGGCCCCGGGGCGGTGCCGGGACCGGACCAGCATCGGCTACGCCTGCCCGGAGTGGATCCTATACCGGTAGCGGATCCTATACCGGTAGCGGCCGCATCACCGCGGGTAACGGGGTTGCGTTTCCCGTTAGCTCTCGTCTCCAGAAGGCAGTTATAGCACTCAGCTCTTCCCCCCCCCCGCCCCAGCTGGGATCAGAGTCCAACCCAACAGGCTCCCTCGCTTTGTTCGCAGGAAGATGAAAAAGCGAGGCCTACAGTACTCTTGGCAGTTTTTCATCTTACTACAGTTTCTCCTCCCGCATTTTCAGACTGGGGGAGGTCACCTTCCCCCAGTACTCTCTCTAAAAACAAGGAGGACTTCTCAAGTAATATCCCACACAAGTCTTAGCAGAGCTTATTTCAGTTTCTCTGTTTTGTTGGCTTGCTTTAAACGCCTATTTGGCCAAGGAAAAAGAAATCTCAAAGATATTTATACTTGTTTTCCCGCACACACCTAGTTTTTTCCACACCAGGCATCCCACAGCTAGCCCAACACAACTAGTAAACCTTTACACCCTCAGGTCCTGCATACTTACCAACTCACTTCATCAAATAGCAGCACAGAAGCCCATAATTTGCTGCCAAGACCAAAAGAAGAGCCAATGTTACCTTCCTTTTGCCTCCCACCTTAGCTTGGCATCAGGAGCACTAACAAAGCCTCAGTCCCACATACAGGATTTTCTATGTTGTCTGAGCCAATGACTTGTTCAGATTGGTGCTGCAGCAGGTGCAAATCATTCGTGGCGAGCAGGGACAGGTGAGAAAAGACTAAAAATGAGGAAACGGCTGGGGTGGAGAGTTGGGGGGGGGGGGGGTTGCTAGGAGGGAGAGGGGAGTCAAAAATCTTGATTTTGCTATGAGTGTGCTTTGCTACATGAAGTAAATCAGTGAATCCTTCTGTGCTTCCAGTCATAACAGCAGTCTATAAAATGAAGCTCCTTTTTTTATTTCCCCAGACAAAGTGAGGTTTAACTTGCAGGTAGATGTCAAACACCCAGCTCTTTCAATAAAACAACATGCCTGATTGAAGAAAACGGAGATACTCATTAATAAATTGTTCTTTTTTTTTTTTTTTTGCTATGCTACTGGAAATAACATTCACCTTAGTGGTTTGTCCTCTTTGCTAGACTCATTCCAATGTTTTACCTCTCTAATTTTAGAGAAATAGAGTTTTTTCTAGTAGATTTCAACCAAACTGGAACCAACCCAGTTCATTTTGGTAGCATTCTGCATCCAATATTAAAACTTTTAAAAGACAGGTTTGTTGTACGTCAGAGCAATTTCTTTCAGGGAAATATTGCTAACCTCTGCATAAGTTGAAAATAAAGTCCAAAAATGCTTATATCAGCAATAAAGACTGTCACTGACAAGAAGACATTAGAAAGAATTTCAAAGTTAAGCTTGGTGGAGCAAGCACTTAGGCAAAATGGTGGGAATAGTCCCTTCTAGCTTTGCACCAATGAATTGTAAAATCTGGGAAATTATTAATGAATCAATGTTTCTAGTGGTGTAGCATCTTTCTAAAAGACAAACTCCCAGATAAGGGACCCAAAACTCTCCACGAGTTCATCTTCTGTTCATCATTTTGGCTGAGGGCTTTGACTGAGAGGATGGCTCAGCCATGGAGGAGGCACCACCTCTGAAGTTGACAGTGTAGCCAGGTTTTACAGCAAACCCAGATCAATGAAGGCTTATTTTCCAGTGCAGCACTGCATGCTGTGGTGAGTCAGGGACTGATTCTCAAACCACTCAGTCATGCATATGTAGGGAGAAAGGCAGGACAACAGAGACCCCACACACCAGAAGTCAGAGCTGTAGGCAGTCTGTCCTTCAGGCTCAAGCCAGAAACTTGGCTTCCATAACCCCTAACAGCTGACCTGGGATTCAGAATGAGGGATTATGTTTTCAACCCTTTTTCAGTCTCACCTTTAAAATTGTCAGGAAAGTTATTTAAAATGTAAAGCACATGTAACGGATGTTCTTGTCTTCTCTAAGGCATGCAGAGCATGTGACAGATTGGAGCAGTTTTCACTTCCCCCTTGGCATTGACTCTCTCTGAACCCATATTTGCACTGTATACTCTCAAGGTTAAATATTCATTGATAATCACTGTAACTAAAATAGCTGGTTATCTATGTTTTTTTTCCTCCGTTTGAAATTGCAGATTCCCTGTACGCTGCAAGTTTTTTCTGCACTGCATAATCTGCCAAAATCAAGGGCATCTACATTATCAACACAAAGACATTTACCGACTGAAAGAAGGAGGCATCGGAGACTGATGAGACCAGCAGAAATCAAAAATCAACAGAGAGCACTGTTTTGTTATTCATTTCTATGGTTTATTATTTGGAAAGACTGTTTTTTAACTCAGTTCAGTTTGCCACAGAACACATACATAACCAAGCAAAACCGGCCCCACTTCAACAACAAGTTAAGGAACAACCATCCCTTTCCCTTTTTACCAATGCTCTGTTTCAAAATGGTTCAGTGCAATCCTCAGTTGGTGTCATCCTTCAGAGATTTCACACACAGTATCACACACAGTATGCTAGAGATTGGAAGGGACCTCAAAAGATCATCTAGTCCAATCCCCCTGCCGGAGCAGGAACACCTTGATAATGTTACACAGGAATGTGTCCAGGGGAGTTTTGAATGTCTCCAGGGAAGGAGACTCCACAACCTCCCTGGGCAGCCTGTTCCAGTGTTCCGTCACCCTCACTGAGAAGAAGTTTCTTCTCAAGTTTAAGTGGAACCTCTTGTGTTCCAGTTTGGACCCATTACCCCTTGTCCTATCATTGTTTGCCACTGAGTAGAGCCTGGCTCCATCCTCGTGACACTCCCCCTTTATATATTTATAGACACTAATAAGGTCACCCCTCGGTCTCCTCCAAACTATAGAGACCCAGCTCCCTCAGTCTTTCCTCATAAGGGAGATGCTCCACTCCCTTAATCATCTTCGTTGCCCTGCGCTGGACTCTCTCCAGCAGCTCCCTGTCCTTCTTGAACTGAGGGGCCCAGAACTGGACGCAATATTCCAGATGTGGTCTCACCAGGGCAGAGTAGAGGGGAAGGAGGACCTCTCTCGACCTACTAACCACCCCCCTTCTAATACACCCCAGGATGCCATTGGCCTTCTTGGCCACAAGGGCACAGTGTTGGCTCATGGTCATCCTGTCATCCACTAGGACCCCCAGGTCCCTCTCCCCTACACTGCTCTCTAACAGGTCGTTCCCCAACCTATACTGGAACCTGGGGTTCTTCCTGCCCAGATGCAGGACTCTACACTTTCCCTTGTTATATTTCTTACCCTCAGGTGAAATTCAGAGAGTAAATTTAGGTGTAAACTGGTTTATTCTTCCATGCTAGTAGCATAGCTGGTAAAGAGTATGAGATTCATGTCCTGTTCCCAACTCTGACTTGTTAAATGACTTTCAAAACCAAACTTCACCTCTCTCTGCCTTCATTTCCCTTTCTATAAAATGGAAATAACAATACCTAGTTGTTGCAAGAGTCCCTCATAAGATCTCTGTGTTATTGTAACAGCAAACTACTGTATAAACTAATAATGTCATACACTGAATTTCTTTAAAAGGTGATATTCCTTTTGCAGCCTTATTGCAAAAAAAAACAGAAAGTACAAATAACAGGTCCTGATTAAGAGACTGGGTTACTTAGTAATTTACAGGAGGACACATTGTATGAATATAAAATTAACTAAAAAAAGCAGTCTTGACATCAGATTACTGCATCTTAAGATGCTACCCCGGGCATCTGCGATGAGATGGTACCAGCTATCCTAAGTATGTCAGGACATGCCACAGAAGGTAAAGGCAATTTTAAAATAGCTACCATTAATTTCGCTACTGAATGAGTTTCCCAATTGAATATTGGGGACATCCAGCACATAAATCAGTGCACATCTCCAGCACACAATTCACCTTTACATCAGCTGGTAGGATCTGTTTTACGGGGATCTGTTCTTCCCATTGAACAGCAGCCATTGGAATGGAGTAGCAATGAGTCTAATTCAGGGAAAGTGAGAACAGCATTCCCTGACACAAAGAGGGAAGTATGCTTAAAACAAGTCCATTTTGAAAAAGGTATCAGGAAGTTTATGGCCAATGAATTATTTCAAATATGATCATGTTACAGATGAACAGATTTCTTTCTTCTCCAACTGTAAACCTAATAAATGCCATCTGCAATTAAAACTCAGTTAAGAGAATCAACTTGGTTTTCTTCCTTCCATGTTCCTCACTGCTGGCACTAACAGAAAAGCTGTGCAAGACCAAGTGATGCTAGTGCAGCTCTACTGCTGGCTCCGATTTATAGTAATTAGTCCTACAAGGAGGTACAGGATTCAGCTTCTGTTTCCCTGGGTCTTGTGATTCTGCAGTGCTCACAGAGCAGGAAGGCCATAACAACTTATTTTTGTCACTAAAGTCAGCAGATGTGTCTTGGAGAGCACAGAGTGACCAGATCTGCTGAGTAGCAAAGCGAAATTTTTTACACAGTCATTTTTCAGAGTAGAACCAGGCTTTTGCTGACTGGTCCAAGGTCACAGGAATCAGTTGCAGTTGCTCTGGGAATACAGCTCAGGAGGACCAGTGCTCACCTCCAGAACTGAATCACAATACAGCCCTTGCTTTTCTTCATATTCTTTAACAAAATCTATGCAGTTAATATCGAAGTACACCACATAATACAATTTTCCCAGAAATAAAGTGTCCAGGAAGCCATCCCCATATATATTGGAGTCTCAGCTAAAACTTGAATCATTTGTCAGTTCCCTGTAGCTCTTGGATATATTTTCCCCCATCTTGCATACTCCACTATAAAATCAGGTTGACAATAAAAAAAAAGCACTTGACACATCACCTCAAAGCAAGCTAACTGTTACTAAGCACTGTTCTGACATTAAACCCTCAGCTTCTTCATCATCTTCAAATATAGTTTTTCAGATAATACCCAGAGGGACTTTGAAAACTTCAGCTTTC